CAAGGTGTGGTTTGTTTCAGGCTGGTCACCTTTCTCCTTTTTTAAAGCCGCATAAACCGAATGACGGTGTCGTGACAAAGATCTATGTGACTGGCCTTTTAAAACTAAAGCCATTGATCCCCTTCACTTTCAAGATGAAGGATTACTTCCTGCTACCTTGCAATTCGCACTTGATTCTGCAAATTCTAGAGGTGCGCCCTCAAAATAAACAGCAAACGCGGAGAGATGCTGGGGACGTCTCTCGTACAAAACTCCCAAGGAACGTCATGAACATGATCATGTCCGGAACCGGCTTATCCTATGCAAGAAACCAGCAGCAGTAAACTATATTAAATTAAGATCTAGCTTCACGCGCGATACTCAGATGATTCGATGAATTTGCATCAATTATATTAGAATTTCTGTAATAAAAATCACAAGTTCGAAGGATTCACAATATAATCTGCACAAATCATATAAGGGTTAGTTGTTAATACGGCCACATTTTCATACAAGGTCAGAGTATCATTTGGAAGGTGAAGAGGGCGTTTAGGGTTATCTATCGCGCGCCCCAACCTCTCTGATGCCGTGCGTTTTTACTTAGTATTCACCGCTGAGACGATAGGCATTAGTCTTTCGCACCAGAACCATGAGCACAAAAGTGACCTCTCCGAGCATTCCAGTTACTCTGGCCCCAAAATGATCACCACAACCACCAACAACACTCCTTTCACAATTGATCTCTCTCAAACACAAGCATACTGTGCACCCTTGCCGAAAAACCTTTCGGCTCGGCCAGAAAATATGTTTTCATCATCCACGAACCATTATATGATCTGTACAGGCAGGGCTGTGAATCCTTTTAAAGCAATTGCTCGTCTTGGGAATTGTGTTCTAACGTTACAATGGGTTCATTCTGGAATTTAAGACAGCTGTACAGTTCTTCCTAGCTTTACAGTTACCTTTTGCAGTTTGTTGAGTATTTTACGAAATGCATCATCATCATCATCATCATCATCATCATCATCATCATCATCATCATCATTATCATCATCATCATCACCATCATCATCATCATCACCATCATCACCATCATCGTCATCACCATCATCATCATCATCATCATCGTGGAACTGCACTGATACCTACTTTCTTTTGATTCATGTTCTGCTCTTCACTAACGCTATCGGAGATGAATTAGTTGAGGCGGGTGAAGGATTGCGTGAAGTGAGCTTATGATTCGAGGAGTTGATGTCGTTTTTGACTGCAGTTTTCTTCCCCAGATATGTGTTTTCCCATTCACAACGATTCGACTTGGGTCATTTAAATAACAGCGGTCGTCATTTGCGTTTGGTGTTCGTAAGATCTTTGTGGATGTTCTCAGTGAGCTTATGGATTTTACAAAAATTTGTGTTCTCTTCGCCCTTGCGTTGGCGAATATTTCTGTGCGCATGTTTACCGTAATCATTTGGAAGAAATAATTGAAAGAACTCGTAATCCGTTTACACATTCTGACTCGAGTTTGTTCCGATTGAACACAATACTCTACGATAAGTGTCATGAATAAATGAGGTAAACCGGGAACTGAAAAGCTGGGAAGCATTTGCTACATGTTTCAATCTCATTGTTCACCGTCTTTTCGGGAATCGATGGAAAAAATCGAAGACCTTCTGCCCACGTGAAAACGGGGTAACTGACGAGATGCTATCACCGTATATATATTTTGTACGGTAAGTTCACATTTTTGAACTGACTGAGAGTAATTTCACACGGCCTGCTTATTTATTCGTCAATAAATCGCATTGTTAACAATTTCGAGGACACATTTATGAAATCTTTGTGTGCGTTTCGTGAACTATTCCAATAATATGAGAAATTAGTTCAAGCGGATTATCCAAACATACGGCGCAGTTTGTCAAGTGGGTCTCACACTGTGCAGTAACAGTCAAATGCAAATTCCACTATTTTATCAAGCAATATTTGTTCTCTGTTGGGAAATGTCGAGGAAGTAGTAGACATCGTATCGAAAAACGAGTACCAAAACCTAGGGATTATGATGCTGCAGGATTCTTGGATGCACAAATAAATCTCCAGTGAAATTGTACAACTTGATGAATATAACTTGTATCTCGTGGACCGTCCCACGTATGTCCATGAATGAGGCAGCGATGCAAATTACGTTAGCGACATCTTGAATGAATCAACCACCATCATCTATGAATACTAAACGGATAAAATGAGTTGTCACGTCACAATGTAAGCTCCGTTTTTTTAATGGGTTTTGTTCCATACTTCTTGGAAACTTTTGCCTGTCACCCACAATATCAGCGGCTGGTATAAATAGGTTATCTGACATTTTTTTCTACCTTCATCATATCAAGAACAAATGACTCTTTGTGTATTTGTTGGTGATTTTAAGAGACATATTATAACTTTCCTCATTAAACTGGGTCCACACAATTTGGTACAGTTTCCTACCAGACTCAATTCACAACTTGATTTCGTTTTTACAAACAGACCGGAATTTTTTGAAGTCTATAAAATTGCTCATCCAAGCAGTTCAGATCATTGCATCTCAAAATTATGTCCCACTGTATGCAGCAAAACTAGCCCGTACACATTTTAAGAAGGCATTTTAATATAGTCAGAGAAATTGTCCATCGGAGAACCTGGAAATCTAAGATCCCTGATTGTCGCCACAGATATTTAGGTGTTTCCCAAACAGAACCCTTCTGTCTTCTGTGAACATGTAACGAGCCACCTTCATTTTTGTTATAACCAGTACTTCCCACTGGAAACGGTCTTCATCCAAGAAGACAAATATTCATCACCGCTACTAAAAGAGCTACGCAGGCGGAATGGAAGGGCCTATAAAGATGGGCAAATAGCCCATGTTAAGGAGCTTACAATTTCGGTCAAAGATGAAATGAATTGGTTGAACAAAACGTACATCGACACTATCCCGAGAAACTCTAGTTGTCGTGACACGTGGAGAGCTATCAGCCGCCTTTGTGGTTAAAGCGGTACACACAAAAAGGAAACCGTTGACGTTGGAAAGTTAAATTCTGAGTTTAGTCCAGTTTCACAATACACTTCCCTGCCAGACTTAGTCGGATATACGCCAACGCAAATATGGTATAAATGCCGAAATTGCACCCATTCGGGCGCATAAAGCTACTACTGATCTAACTTAACTTGACTACCAGCCTCCAGATTTCAATAACAAATTTAAACTCGCCGTGTTATTCATCCAAGTCTTTCAGTCCGCTTTTTGTTCGTACAGTTTGTGGTGAAGTTGTTGCTTGAATCAAATGAAATCCTCAGTTTCCATGTGATGAGATATGCACTGACAAGAGAAAGTGTACAAGCTGGCAAACAGTAGGTTTCTATGATGGACAACATATTCCGACAAATTCTAGAATAAATGAGCTCCCTACTGAATGCCGACAATCGGTAGGGTCACTGGGCATCGTGTACGATCATCAGAAGACATGTATGGTTTTATGCTGGGATAAGTGATTTGGTTTTTCAATTATTGTAATCATTCCTCATTTAGAACGAGTAGGGTGTCATGTACTGGCAAGCTATTTACACTAACCTTTGGAAGCAGAAAGGATTCACTTGGTTCTCCTTTAATTATTCAACACACTTTCAAACGTAATGGTTAATCAATAAACTGGAGTGGAACCGACAATAATTCTAACATAATCGTGGGCTATCTGAAGAGAATTTCAGTCATATAAGAGGTTGCAAGAAAGCATTTGATACAGTAAATTGAATCGGTTACCTCAACTGGAATGACCTTGATTGAGGCAGTTGGAATTTGGTTTGTTTGCGCAACGCTTCTGCTTAAGGCACTCCAAGTACCTCGGTATGGTGCTAATGACACGTAATTTCTTACTTGACCTTAGTAGATGAGGACCATGTCAACGGGTTACTCCACCACACATCCAGTTATGCACACAGTGCTCTCAGTCATGACGCACACCGGTATAGCCGTAGGCAGTTCTGTTTCGGCGTGAAGTGAACAGACACAACAGGGGATGGATGTGTATTTGTCTAAATTTTCTTAACACATTACGGACAAAATCTTTAAGGATCGCTAAAATCCAAGCTATATCCGGAAACGTAGAATATATTTTCACGTGATTTATTTTAACTGCAGACTGGCTAATATAGTGATTACAAAATTTCGGTACAAATAAGGTTTGTGTTTGTATGTACACGTTCATCTATACGCTGTTGGGAAAACTACATACATCGCATCTACTCTGAACTATAGTAATATTGATTCGCATAGCCAATCTACAAACCTCATCCAAATTTTCGAACTGAGCCTTTTAAAAATGTTCTCCTAAAATCTGCCCAAAATTTATCACTATTTCAAGAATAGTAAAGCAATCTGTCATTTTTGTTAATTTCGGCAGATTCACAGAAAATATCTTGAGACTGATTCGGTTTATTAAAAGCATAAACTAGGATACGGTCGCATTCGAGTATCGAATACCGGGACTCGAATTGAAGCAAAACGTTCAAGTTTATTACGCACACACACGCACAAACATGCGTACGTTCTGGTGGTTGTACACGCTGCATGAGTGGACACGTCCTGTTGAGTCGGTGTTGCGTGACTAATTAACTCCGCTCGTCGGTTCGC